CCCCACTTGGGGGCTACTTTGTTCAAGGTATGTTTTGACTTATTATTCGTAAATATTACATACAAATAATGACAATATTTATCAAATTCACTCGTCTGAGTCCAGTTATGAATATAATATCGATAAATTTTACTAAAGTTTGAATTAACATAGTTTTTTTACATGTCAAAGTTCAAAAACTGCGAAATCCTGCACAAAGTAGCCCCGAATGACGGTATATAATAATAATTAGACCCAATAATTAGACGCACTGTAGTAGTTTAATAACTGACTATTTCGCACGTGTTTATAGGCAATACTTTTATATTTACACATGCACGTAATGGGCTTTTATTACGGAGATTTTTCATGTATTTCCTATTTGTATTTATTTTTAACGTATTGCATTGCAATGTTAACCCATTGATACACGAACATAAACAAGCGTAAACCGATTTCAGTTGCGTAAAAAGCAATAAAGCTGTATAGAGTATCACCTGATAATTAAGATTATACATAGAATCCTATATTGCGTTTAATAATTTGGACAGTCACTGTACATAGAATTCTATTTTTTTATGATGGCTAATAATTTGACTAATATTTTCTGTAACTATCATTTTGATTTCATTCCATAATAGTTTTAAACATTTTTCACAAAAAATTCTCAGAAGTCGCGATTTCTATGTGTTGCTTAAAATAGTCTTAAGTAGTCGTGGAAGTTTCCTACTTAAAATTTCACGATTTCTTTGTGCTAAATATGTCACATGCAAATGCTTGTTACAAAATGATCATGTAAGAAGTTGCATGCAAAGTCATATGTTTAAAAGTTCCCAGATAGCACAGATTGTCCTAGCGGAGTCATAAAATGTCAAAAATGATGACTGCTGTTACAGGTGTGACCGTTTTGAATTGTCCCAAAGTGAGAGTCACATCGACCATGTCAACATTTATCTATGTTAAGGTACCCCAACATAGAATCGAGTTAACATGTCTTATGTACTAGTGAATTGTTTTATTGTAGTGGTAGACACACTACAGTACTCCCCCACCAGAATTATAACTGTGATAGAATTTGATGAACCACTAGTTGATTCATTGCTTTTTTTTGCGAGAACTGTTTTAAGATCACTGTACTTTCAAATGCAGAGCTGTATTTAATTAAAAATTAAGTTTGCGTTTTAAGATAAATGATTAAAGAATATTGATACGTTTTTAATTTACTTTCGATATGTTTTAATTCTATTTGATTTCTTTGTTTTAAGATTCTTTCGTTTTCAAAACGTATAAACGTTTTGACTGTTTGTTTTTGATTGATAAGTCAATGTTATTTCATTTTGATAACATTTTTTTTTTCTTAGTTTTCTTTTCCTTTTCATAACTTCGTTACAACTTATTATTATCAAGTCATTTGTGTTGAACAATGCAACACCATGACTATTACATGCTAAGAATGATTCCAGGTGTCAATAAGATAGTTAGAGAGAAAAGTAATTTTAAAGTTAATTAACAAAACATCTAATCTATCTCAAAAAGAGCACAAATTAATTTAACTTCAGTGTTTTCTAACTACTTAGAAATGATTTATGAATATTCAGAACAAATTGGTTTTTAGTAACATCTTTAATAGTAATAAAACTTGGAAATTAACACGTGGGATCTAAAGACCTATGAATAATAAAACCACTACTTTTTTTTAAAACCGTTGTTGAACACTCTCCCCAATTTTCGGGCTCACGACTACTAATGTTCAACTACGTAACCTTGTAATTTTGAAGACAAGGGAACTTCTGCATCAAGTATTGGAAGAAATTTGCCTTCGTGGAGGACTTTTTGAGGGAACTAACCAGTATTTGTGTTACATGGAGAGGGAAACCACGAAAACCTCCCATGGTTAGCCAGATGGAAAGGGGACTCTATCCCGTGATCCGCCTACCACTGAGGATATTTAACGTCACTAGCCTTCAATTGCGTTGCAAGGAGAGAAAAATCAAGAGGACCTCTAACGGTTAGCTCGATCGCAAGGAGACTTTTACCCATGATCCGTCTACCACTGAGGATATTTCACGTCAGCACAGTGGTCGGTGCAACCCGGAAGCGGAATTCGTATCGACTAGCCATAGCTGGGATTCGAATCCTGTTCACCTCATTGGAAGGCGAGCGTTCTATCCACTGAACCATCGTGGCTCAGAAATCCTGATCCATTGTGGTTCAGAAATCCATCGTGGCTCAGAAAGTACAGTCACTGACCTCTAAGATTCGCACTCTAAGATTCTATGTAAAATCTTAATTATCAGGTGATACTCTATACAGCTTTAGTGTTTTTACGTGACTGAAATCGGATTGCACTTGCTTACGTTAGTGTATCAGTGGCTTAAATGAGATGATATATTATGTAAATATAGACTATTTATTACATCAAGCATTATATTAGCATATCATTATAATTAGACTAAATTATAAGATGCACTGTATTGTTTTATTAATGACATGATTTGCACGAGCTTATAGGCAATACTTTTATATTTGAACCATACATGTAATGGGTCTTAATTCGGGAGATTTTCATTACTTCCTGTTTGTATTTATTTTTGGCGTATTGCATAACAATAGTAAACCCATTGATACAGGAGCGTCAACAANCTCGTGATCCGCCTACCACTGAGGATATTTAACGTCACTAGCCTTCAATTGCGTTGCAAGGAGAGAAAAATCAAGAGGACCTCTAACGGTTAGCTCGATCGCAAGGAGACTTTTACCCATGATCCGTCTACCACTGAGGATATTTCACGTCAGCACAGTGGTCGGTGCAAGCCGGAAGCGGAATTCGTATCGACTAGCCATAGCTGGGATTCGAACCCAGTTCACCTCATTGGAAGGCGAGCCTTCTATCCATTGAACCATCGTGGCTCAGAAATCTTTTGAGTCAAAAACAATAAAGCTGTATAGTATCACGTGATATTTATAATTTTACATAGAATCTCATAGTGCGTCTTATAATAGGTATTGTAAAGGTTTTGATTACATTCTCAACCTTTATGCAAGCAAAACATAATGTCTTCCGGAATTATTTGAGGATAAAAGGCAAATATTTTCAACTCCCATTCTTCGTTCTTTCGAACAAAAGGCAGCTATAATGAGGGAGTTGCTCCTTAAGTATTATGCAGATTTCTCACAGTGTGAATATTACATAGTATGAATTCGCAATCTTAACGTGCATGGTTTATTTTCTTAAAAAAAAATTCAATTACAGAAAATCATTAAGGGACAATCTGAAAAATGTGTATGAGTGTTTTTTTTTCCTTTCTTGAATTTTATCAGGAAATATTTTTTTGCTGAAATAGGGCTGACCTGACAGCAAGGCGAGCAATACAGTTGCCTTAGGCTCCATGATTCGAAGGCCCCACAAAAGAGGATTCGGTAGCTGAGATCTTGGAAAATAAATAAATAAAAAATTAAATATCACTGCTTGTTTTTTTGTTGAAAAAATTATAAAAATAAAAGATATGGCTGTGCACCCATGTCTATTTTGTGTAATTTTATGAAGTATTTAATAATTACAGGAATTTTCAGATTTAAAAAAAAAGAAGAGACTTAGTATTATTTTTTAAGTAAAATGCCTTTGTGAATAATTATTTAAGAATAAATGGGGGAATATAAATTTAGCATCAAGTTCAGAATCGTCGTTTCAGATTGCGGTCAATAACTGCTACACTTCTCATTTGAATTCTTTATATATTCATTTTAATGCTTTTGCAACCAATTCTACAACGGAATAAATAGATAAATGAATAAATAAATGAAATATCCTTCAAAAATGTAAAAAATAATTCTTAACACATTTCTAAAAAATACGTTGATGCAAACTAAGTATAACTCTTAATTAAAAGGGTTAACTGGTTAACAAATTCTCTCGATATTAGAAAGAAAAAAAAGCTCTCTCATGCACAGTAAGTCCCGCAAAAAAATGCGCCTTACACACCTCTTCTTGGAAGCAATGATGCTATGCAAAATCGGAGATATTAAAATTTCCGTCTTTGTCTTAACAGGACGCTATATCACGAGAGAAACATTTCATGGCAAATTTTCATTTCCCTACTTAAATAATTTGAAATTTATAGTATAGAAAAAGTTAGTTTTTTTAGGTAAACCTAGAGTAAACCACGAAATTTCAAATGCTGTTACATAATAAAAAATAAAGTAATGAAGTAATCATGCAATAACTTGTTTCCATATTGATATTGTGGAGACATTTTTTTTTTTTTGCATTTGAAATTTCAAGGTTTGCCCTTGGTGTACCTGAACCCCCTTTTCATTAAACTTTAAAATATCAGTGGAAGTGAAACAGAATCTGACATGAAAAGTTTCTACCGGGGTATAGCGTCCTTTGAATTGTTACTCATTGACTTACTCATTGTTACTCAGTGTCAAATTAATAAAATGGAGCCATTAATTTTTTTAAATCTTTTTTTTTTACAAAATACTGCTAGAAAACGCCAGGATAGCCTGGTTGGTAGGGCACTGGGCCCATGTCCAAGAGTTCATGGGTTCGATCCCCGCCGACCGAAGACTCCCCGTGTAGTAACTGGTGACTGATGCACGTTAAATCTGTCGAGTCGCAAAGTCCTCTATAACAAATCAATACCTCTGGGGGCACTGATCCAGGAAGTTTCCTTGTCTTCTGGATTGGCTCAAAATGACAAGGCTACGGAGTTGAACATTAGTAGTCGTAAACCTAAAAATTGGGTTGGTTGTTAAACAATGAATAAAAATGAAATATTGCTAGAAAAAATTCTACTTTATTTACATACATGGGTCGATCAACGACCTTTACAAAAATTACAACAACATCTGTAACATAAAATTAACAACAGTGTGTCTTACTGATAAAGAAAGTGGTTGTCACAGTTTTGAATTTTTAAGAAAATATTATCTCACTTTTAAAGCTTTATAAACTAATACAAAAAATAAATAAGAGTCCCTTTCTGTATAAAAAGTTTCAATTCGATCTCTTTCAGTAAGTGTATGTATAATTCGTTCGCACCAGGCGTTTATTCCCTTTTGAGGAAATGCACTTTCATATCAACAGACTTGGCACAACGCTTGGCTGAATACTCGATAGCAAATAAATACGTAAGCATAAAATACTTTGACTAAAACAGTTACGCCGCATTCCATGACCCTCCCTTTATGTCTCCCCCTTCCTGCGTGCTGTATCCATTCGAGTCGCCCACCAGTTGGTCACTCTCGTAAGATCTGGCTTTGGCGATCAACGGTTCTTGCTTTTCTGCCTGCTCCTCCTCTGGTTTTGTTTGAGAATAGTCAGAGTATGTATCCCTAGGTTGTGTTTCTTGAGCCTGGAAGTTGACCGAGTTCTGCACGTTGTAGACGGGATTTCCGGCCTGGTCATAGGCACGCATGTAAACCGTTCCAGTAGCTCCCTCTACTCGCCCATTCTCCTTCCCGGGTTGGGTGGCATACGCAGCTTTCAGTCCGTAGTTTTGCAAACTCGCAACTACGTCTTGGTGGCTCGCGTCGTTCCCTTGCACCTCCGTATTACCGTGGTTGATGTAGTAGGATGCTTGGTTATGATACACTTTGGAGCTTCCGTGACTTCCGTAACTTCCTTGGTTTTCATAAGTCGAGGATTGACTTCCGTAATTGTTTTGGTCCTGCTGGGAGGGAGAGTCCTCATCTTGAGTGGGTTCGTCGTTTTGAAAAGATGGATGGGGTGTATCACTTTGTTGAGAGGGTTGATAACCTGCATCACTTTGAGGCGACGGGTACTCTTTTCCGCTTTGTTGATAGGATGCATACGAATTATCTTGACTCTGGTATCCATAGGATGATTGTTGCTGCGGCGGCCCATTATTCACTGCATCGGTATTTTCATTTTGGGAATATATTTGAGATTCGTATCCTGCATAGGGTGGTGCCTGGTTATCGTATCCTTGGTCTTCATTTCCGTCGCCTTGGTAGTTGTTGTTGCTATGCGATTGGTATCCGGTGTTATAATAATTTGCATTAGCTTGAGGATAATTGATCGGAGTGGCAGCTCCGTTTTGCAATTGATATATAGCTAAAGTTGGGACCTGTCCATTATTGCCATAGTGCGTTCCAGTGTTTTCACCCTGGAAATCGGAAGTTATTTTGTTTTCTCCGACGTTATATCCCCCAGTGGATTGTTCTCCTTGATATTGCTCACCTCTTCCAGAATGGTCGTTAAAATTGCTGACGGACACGCCAAGATACGTTTGGGGATTTTCCGAGCCATATCCTTCGTTTTGTTGTCCTTCCACTTGGTCCGAAGCAAAGTGGTTTTGGTCGTAGGAAATACCCCCAGCGCCATTATCTTGACCATATTTGGTGCTTTCAGAAACGACTTGCTCCTTAGTTGTATCTCTTCCATATACACCAGAACCATCAATATCCCCAGGAATATAATGGCCATGATCTTGTGCTCCGCTAGCGTAAGGATTTTGATTTCCTTCAAAACCCCATGAACCTCCATACCCTTGCACATCAGAGCCCCAATGTGCTCCATGATATCCTCCATGGATTCCTCCACCGAGTCCTTGAAGGCCTGAGAAAGCATGATTTTGAGTATAGGCACCATAGATATGACTCTGACCGTCCGGATGAGATTGCAGTTTTCCAGCATGGGTTGCCAAGAAACTTGCTGCACTTGTAGGGTTGATGATGCTACTTTGACCACCTCCTCCTCCTTTGCCTTTATGACCACCCTGTGGGTAAGGCGTGCCCTTTCCTGGAAGAGGGGAACCCTTGTAATCACCGCCTTGGTAAGGTGTTCCTTTGTAATCACCACCAGTATAAGGTGTTCCTTTGTAATCACCACTAGGATAAGGTGTTCCTTTGTAGTTTGGCTTGTACGGTTGCTCTTCAATGCTAAAAGAAGCAATTAATATATTATAAATTATTACAATATTGTGCATTACTAAATTATTAAACTATTAATTATTTAATAATTATTAAATTATTAGCATTATTAAATTATAACATTATTGTGCATTTAAATTATTACAATATTGTGACACCTCATAAAAATTCAGAAGAAATCATAAAAAAGGGAAAAAATCCACCTTTTTCTTTCGATGTTTGCAAAGAATATAAATATTTCTTTTTGTTTACAATAATTAATTGTTCACACAGACAGACTCATTAGGAATTTTTTTCTTAATTTAGCCGTCTCCCTTGGCCAGATGGTCCACCTTTCTAAACAAGTAGAATTTCATGTAGTTCGAGACTTAAAATGGTACAGACAAAAAAACTACAGTGTAAAATTGTTCTGTAAGTAAAATAAACTCATATTGTTGAAGTGAGAGTGGATGTAATTTTTGTCTCTTTCATGTTATTATGGCATCGTGGTGAATTTTGAATTGCAATGTCTAGTACAGCATATGTTACCATTTGAAAAAAATGTTAATTATCTCAAAGGCACCTTTGATGATTAATAAATAAATTAGCAATTTTGTAAAAATAAATTGTGCGCTTCTTTGCTATTATTAGCACTAGATCGCCCAAGGAAGTTATTTTGACTCCTTTTTAATTTAATTTAGTCCTTTTTAATTTTTTTCCTCTTTCCTTTTTCCTTTTTAATTTAATTTCAATGATGAAATTTCTTAGAATTAGGTGATTTTTTGTACAACATATAATTTTTTTATTGTTAATATTTTCTAATAATTTGTTATGTAACTGTAAATAATATAAAAATATTAAACATTAATTTTAAACAAATTTCCTTACACATTAGTTATTCTTTCACAATGCAGTCATTTTGACTGCTTTTGGGCAATATAGGTATATACTAAGTTTCAGTCTCTCTAGTTTTAATTATGCAAGGCAATGAATTTTATTTGTAAGAGTTTTTTCGCCAAAATGAAACTAATACTTTAATCGTTATAAACTTCTTTAAGTTATCTAAAACGGTAACCAATACATTCCAAAGCAAAAAGTAAACGTTAAATAAATAATTTAGATTTAGTGTCACTTTTCAAGAGCTGAGAGACAACCTAACCAAGTAAATAAGTATTCACGTTGAAAACTTATAATCAGTCTTTACATTTATTTGACAAGTTTAGTTGATAATTAAAATGGTCATTAGCTTTTCGATCATTTTTACCTAACTTTATTTTAGCCTAGATGTAAGACTCTTTGCTATTAAAAACTTTTCCCCCTTAATATTAAAGCCCAGGAGTTGAGACTTAACTCATTTAATCTTATATCATAGATCTCAAATGTATAATTTATGTACGTTGGGGGGTTATGAGTACAAATTTTAATAGAGCAATGTCAAAAATATATCGCTATATTTTCCTTAATAATCCAGTTTCTACATTGTTATCAATATTTTTGTTACACAAATAAAATGTAGCAACATTCATAATATGATTTTATTCAATAATTATTCCCTTCTGTAATATTCACGATCAAGTTAGAATTGTTAAGGAAAGTGTTCTAACTAATCTTGAAAGATACTTTAAAATAGAATTCACCACAGTTCCTGATTAACTCTTTTTAACTATATTTTTTGAACTATGATAAACTTTTGGACTCTATACCTTTGTAGGAAACTAAGTTTGTATTTTTTTTTTCGTATTACATTTTTCTTTTAGCTCTCAAAGGTTTTAAGATTTTTAGTGAGTTGCGACTGCAAAGAGAAAAAAGAAATATCTGTTCCCTTCCTCACTTGTTTTTCCCCTCTAATTTTTAATTCTTAAATTTAATATTTTTTGTAGGAAACATTTTATAGAAGTTTCATGCAAAAAAAAATTCATAGACTAGGCTTATTTTGAAAGTTCTTAGTTGTTTTATCATTGCTTCCTCCCTTAAGACTATTAATCGTACAAAGAAAAAAAAATTTCATATAGGAAATAAATTTATTTTAATTTGTATTATAATACACAATTTTGCTAGAATTCATAGCTTTTAAGATAATTAGAGCATACTGTAAGCAAAACGTATGACCGCTCTTCCATTTCTTTTCATTTTACTTTCTTTTTATAAAGTATTAATCTTTTAGAAAAATATCTATTATGCTTCTCATTGGAATTTTTTTCTATATTTTACACTAAACTCATTTTTGTTTTGGAATTAAAAGATTTGGAAGTATTTTTATGGTCTGGCTCTGAAACCATCACTGCCATCGTATTTTGTTTTTCACAATCGTGTTCTCAAAAATTTTGAAAATGACTCGGTTTTTTTTTCTTCGTTTCCTATCTATAGTTTGTCTACTGTAAGAGCTCCCCCCGCCACAAAGTCTGAGACCAACTGCTGCTATGGAAACAAGAATAGCGCATTTTAGGGAGGGTACAAATTGTCTAAGCTAAGTACACCTCCTGCCACAAAGTCTGAGACCGCCTCGTGCTATGGAAACAAGAAAGGCGCATTTTAGGGAGGGTAGATTCGATAACAGCTTGTATGGGAAGCATACCAGATTGGCTGACTCAGTCAACAGCAGGAGACATATTTAATCTAATTCTAGAACTTTTTTAAGATTCGCATGGATATTTCTTTCTTTACTTAAAATGAATCTCTGTCCTTACTGAAATGATGAAAAAAAAATTCCGAAACAGAAAGTCTTGAAAAAGCGAAATGATAAAAAAAGGAATCGAACATTCTAAACGATGTTTCAGGAGCGAATGCTTATTTCTTTTCATTCTAGGGCTAACACAATAGACTGCAGAAATAAATCTTGCCAATCAGAGCCAAAACCTCTCTTAAATAATGACCCCACAGCCCTACTTGAAATAGTTACACCCCGTTAGCACAACCACCGCCAGACGAATGGCTAGGGGAGTTCTTACTTTAGACAAACTATATGATATTTCAAAAGATAAAAATAAAAGTGACTCGTTGAAGTTAGTACTGTGAATGAGAAGAGTATTTTCGAACCACTTACTATACTGGTACTGGCCTTTTGACGTATTCTGGAACTTCTTTCACAACGGGTACAATCTTGGGTATCTTTTGAGGTACTCCGACTGGAACGGATTTCAAGATCGGTACAACATATGGTTTAGGAATGTGTACAGGTACTGCCACTGGATACTTCTTGGCGACGGCGTATGGTTTCGGCACCCTCACGACGTATGGTTTTGGAATCTTTATCTGGAAGGGGAGTTTCACCAGTTTCGGCAAAGGAATCGGGAAGTGGAACGGAACTCCTTTCAAGACAGGAAAAGGCTTTTGCAAGTGCTTGATCACCGGTATAACTTGCGGTACTTTGAAAGGTTTGGCAATAGAGAGTGGTTTCAGGTAACCCACAGGTTTTGGAACAGGCACCAGTTTAGGGATGGGAACGGGTTTGTACACAGGTACATGTTTTGGAACGTGCTTGATGATTATTTTGTGGGGAATGTCATGATGGCCACCTCCTCCATAGTTCCAACCGCAAACGATGTGGAAAAGAATCAGCACAACTGGCAGTGACTTTAGGAGCGTCATCATCTGCAGGACAAAAAAGAAATTGAATTAATTTTATTATTTGATTCGAAAAGAGAGGCCACAATAATAAATACAGTGGTCGCCACAAACAAAATCACTGGATCATATAATTAGCTGCTTTTTTAAAATCCAATCAACGGTGCTCACTTAAAATCAAACACTTATTTTTTAAATTTTAATTACAGTTGATTTTAAATTATATTGTGTTTAACAGAAACTCATTTTAAAAGCATTTAACTATAAACAAAATAAACACCTAGTACCCTATAATAAACAATAGCCTATTACCAATAAACGTAAACCTATACTATAATAAACAATCAATTTCAGAAATTCTAATATGATGAAGTACTCAATTAATGCTGCAAAGTTAACATTGATTATTGACTTCATCTGATGTAATGAATAATAAATTATTGATTATAAAAGAAAGCGCAATAAGCTACTTTTCTAAATCGAAAGTATGATAAACTAACGAATATCAATGATGTTTATTTTTTTTAATGGCTTCTCTATGGTTGGGTCTATTTCTGTTGGGGTCTATTCTCTTTGGCTTCAGAAGTGCCAGAATAGCTACTTCTCTTACCGTTATCCAGTGGGCACTTGCGGCTAACTCAAGGCGGCTGATTAGCGTCGCCCACGTTATACAACCACATACCCGTTTATAGGGTGGTCAACATTCACACAGAAGAAAGGACACAGAGAGAGAAAGATGCTTACGGTGGGATTCGAACCCACAACCACTGGCCCCGTAGTCCAGTACAGTAACCACTAGACCAGTAATCAGCATTTCAATGATGTTACCTTTAAAATGTCAGAGAAATAGAATCGAACAATCAATAACGTAAAACAAAGGCTATTCTAAACCAATCAGTAAATTCCATTTTTCTTATGTCTTTACCGAATGACTTAACTGTAAATTTCTTTCGAATATTAAAATCAAGGGCGCTAAAATCGGCTCTAGCAGCTGTTGTCATTTCAGGAAAATGGAACAATTGGTTCTGGAATTATAAGAGAGGGAGAGAGGCTGGCAGACACTCAAACGTTATTATTATAGATTATATATACTATACTTTGCTACATATATTTGCAACTATTATAAAATCCACCGATACATTGAAAAATGTAGCTCCTGTTTAACTAAAATTAAAATTAGATTCAGTAAAAATTAAAGTATACACGTAGTAATCAACTTAACTTTCAGCGTATTTGTAGTTTAACTAAGAAATTTTTTTTATCTTAGTTTAGATATTACGATTTTTTTAAATCAGCCAACTTATAATATCAAATCAGGATGAACTTGATTTCAATTTGCGAAGGGCACTGTATAAAATGTTTTGAAATCATCGGAAAAATTGCTGAAGAAAGAAAATCCTGCTTGAAATATTTTTGTTTTTGTTTTTTTGGGAGGAATACATTGCGAAATACAAAAAGGATATTTTGTGGACTAAAGCAAAAAATAACGTGAATGTATCACACATGAAAGTACTGAATTGTCCATTTCTGTAATTGACTCAGTATCGCAAAATGCTAAAATTATAATTGCTTAAGGAATAGTTGTGGAAGAACCCTCAAAGCTAAACATGAAAAATGAGGGTATTTCTTGATGTTGATGTCCTTGAATAATGTTTCCCTCTAAGCGATCTTGAAAGAAGAAGGTCATTGATGACCCGGTTCGGGATCTCATATTTTTATGGAAGTAGATCATTAAAAGGATGCCGATGAAACTTCAAAGGTTTCTTTACTCCTCTTCTTCCTCATGCATTTCAATCAACGAGCAAAAATATTCTTAAGTGAGGCTTAAAAATTAGTTGGTTTTTTTTGTAATATATTCATTATTTCCTAAATGGTTTTTACCTCTCTAAAAATGCTACATTTGTACGTCACGAGATTTTTAAATGTGTGTCTTTTTTTTCCCTCCATTTCTTTTTATGAGCAATTTTTTTGAAAGTTTAACATAATGCTTCTCAATAAATACAGAAAGGTAAATGCTTAAGATTAAGAATGCAAAAGATCTCCCGAAATACGTCAAAGATCTGAATTTTAGATTGCTCATTTAAAATTTAAAAAAAGAAATATTGACAGAAAAAGGACAGAGCGGACTGTTTAGGAATATTAAACATGGTGCTCTACCCGGAAGAGCAGCATGTTTTCATTCTTGAGCAATATTTTAGCCATTGTTGTGCTTTCTCCTACTCGTACAATTTTCCATTTTGGTGATAAGATTCGGACATCCGGATCATGTGTTTTACGACTGTTGGTAAAAAGATGATGATTTCATTCCTGCTTTTGCATTTTTTTTATTGAAGTTGGCATGGTACATAATTCTTAAATTATAATTGACGCACCATTTCAATCTAATAATTTGGATGTGCATATATATATNATATATATATATATATATATATATATATATATATATATATATATATATATATATATATATATATATATATATATATATATATATATATATATATATATATATATATATATATATATATATATATATATATATATATATATATATATATATATATATATATATATATATATATATATATATATATATATATATATATATATATATATATATATATATATATATATATATATATATATATATATATATATATATATATACACAAAGCCTGCATTGACATTGAGATTTCTTTTTTGATTGAGATTTAATATTAATTCACTATTAAGAGAAATTTAATATCACACAGCCAGAATAAAAAAAAATTCTTATTTTGAAATAAAACAAAAAGAAAGCACAAGATGTGCCAAATATATACTTATTTTGTGATTTTTTTTCTCAATGCGATCCATTCTTTTTCAAACATTAACAATTTTATGCTTAGAAACGTAGAAAAAATGTTTCTTTATAATTGTCAAACTTTAGTTAAGATTTAGTTTCGTTTTTTACTTCCAAATTAAAATAACGCTAAAAGTTATTATTTTTTTAATGACTATTGTTTTCCTTTACTTTCAAGATTTATCTTTTAAATGCATTAGCGAGCGGTTAGCGTGCCTGACTACGAAGCCATAGGCTGCGGGTTCGAATCCCGCTCTGGGCATGGATGTTTCTCTCTCTCTTTGTGCTGTCCTCTGTTCTGTGTGTGTGTGAATGTGGCCCACCCTATAAACGGGTTTGTGGCAGTGTGGCGTGGGCAATGTTGCTCGCCTCCGTGACTTTGGTTCACAGGTGCCCACTGGGTAACGCGAAATGAGCAACAATTCTGGCATAGTATAGGTTCAAATTCAGTGCCTGCCATTAGAAGAAAAAAAATTTAAGTTTAGAAATTAAATATTTTTTTACGTCTATAGCAAATTATGTTAAAAATAAGTTTAAAAAAATATGTATTAAAAAGTTGAAAAACATAATTTTTTTATTAATATTCAATATTTTTTGCCTTATCAAAAAGTCGAAACATAATATTTCGTAAAACTTCAATAAATTGCCTTGAAAATGATATCCACAAGCTTTTTTTTTACGATGTTGTATGCATAGATATTGCAAACCCCATAAAAGAATAAATATTTTACGAAAAAAAATAAGAGGTTACAAAAATGTCTACCGAAACTCCGGAAGTATCAAAGATAGTGAATTAAATTATTCGTTATCACTGTAAATTAAAACAAAATTATTCCAGGTATATTTTAAGAAATAGATTTTGCATTACTTGTCCTTGTCAAGCTCTCAACTGAGGCAAATACTTACTGACAAATTGACTCATTTTTTAAAATCATATTACGTCTAAAGGTTTTAGATATTTACTCTTCAAAATGTTGTATAAAAAGACTCTCATGTTTCTCTTAAAGAAAAAAAATTTTATAATTGATATTAAAATAACAATAAAAAATTATAATTTTTTTTATCTGTATCCACTTTTTCCCTACAATTCAGAGTTTAAGAAATGCCATTAGTTCAGTGACCTGCAGAGGTGTGTGGATGCCCCGGGTAAATTTCTGAATTAAATGCCTCTTATACGATTTCAACTAATGGGGACCAAAAAAATAAACCTCATCATCATCATAGTTGGCCAGACAGCCCAATATGGGCCAATACCTTCCTCCAAAGATTTCTCCATAATGGCTTCCGATTTATCTTTGATCTCCAATTATTTTCATTAATTGCAAAAAAATTAGACTATACCGTGTCAGTACATCTCAACTACGGCCTTTCCCGCTTTCCTGTTCCAGTGGGTTTAAAAAGCAGCATCTTTCTTACTGTATTGTCATCACTCATTCGAATCACGTAGGCCATCCAATTCTTTCATGTATTTAATAATATCGGATTGTTTATAAATCCTTCTTGTACAGATCAAAGTTAAATCTCCATCTCCAGTTATTGTTTTCATTTATACCACCAAATATACTCATCAAAATCTTTCTTTCAAATGATGCGATACAATTCTCTTCCAAATTTGTCATTGTCAAGCTTCAGAAGCATATCACAAGCATTTTCAAGCTTCAGAAGCATGTGTCAAGATTGGCCTGACAAGAGTTTTGCAGATTAAGAATTTTGTTTTTCTTGAAAGAAACATATATTTGATAAATCTTCTCAGCCCATAGACAGTCCTATTAGCCGGATTGAGTCGGATAAAAAATAAGCCTATTTCATAAAAAAAAAAAAAATTCCTGAAAAATACATTCCACAGATATTGCAAGATACACAAAAAACTAATTTTAACAATGCATTTAGATTTATTGATTATATGTATGTATAAAATTTAAAAGCAAACTTTAAATTCTTTTTTCACACATATGTTTGCGGAAAATATTTTATGGTAAAGAATTAATATTTTTTTTCAAAATATTCAAGCAATTAATTATTTTTGGCTTGCTTTTTTTATTATGAAGAGCATTTCAATTTTATGAGAGATCTTTTTTATTTATTAAAGTCCTCTTTTGACTTATTAAAATCATATCTATATACCTCATAAAATATTTTAATCTCTTAAAAAAATTAAATTAAGTATCTTTTGTAATAATTTGGC